AGGTGTGTTGCTGCCCGAAATGTCATTAACGTATTGGAGACCGATGAATTGCGGCCCGGTCATATTTTATCACTAAGTTAATTGCGACCCGGGGTCAATTCGCCATTCCATGTCCATTGGTTTAACGTGCTCTCCTACTGAAGTTTTTATAGATTTTGAACAAGCAATCCACAGTGCTGTAGCAAAAGTCTTCCATAATGCAAAAATAAGAGGATGTCTATTTCACTTTGGCCAAAGTTGGTGGAGGAAAATTCAAACTTTAGGACTCACGAACATTTATAATATAAATACAGATGAAAGTTATTATTTCAAATTTTTTTTTGATTTGCAGTTTTTGGATTCTGACAACGTCATTGATTATTTCACGGATGAATTGTTAGCAATATTGCCCGCTAAAAATGATCGAGTTGTACAATTTACCGACTATGTTTTCGAAAACTATATATCCCCGGATGCCATGTGTCCTCTAAATTCATCTTTCTATTCTAGTCATCCTAATATCTATAATTTTATTGATGTGTTAGTAGAAATTCTATCAGAAACGTATATCAAATGTAGAAGCAATAAAATAAAAACGAAGAAAATAAGTGAAAAAGAAGCATTTATAAGACAATAGATGACAAAGCTAGCACAAAAAGAAATAGAGTGGTTTGATTTCGTTAAATCGTTAATTTTTAAGTTTTTGCCCAACCAGCAATCTTAAAAAATTAATTTTACCATAAATTACCATACATTTTGCCATTTTTACATAAATAATACTAAAAAATTAAAAATAACAAATTTTTGGGAGACGACTCAGCCAACTTCCTCGTGGTGTCTTCTGAATAACGATGATAGGCTGATATGAAATGATAAATAAAATGTGGCTGCCACTCGTACGTCTGTTTTATAAACACGAGCCGCACTCGTACTTAATTTAGGAATTGGGCCGCAACTCACCAAAACCGATCAAAACAGGGAATTTACATGAAATTATGTTTTGCACAATTTTTACTCTCCGTATTTTTCTGTAGGCATGTGAAAGTTCCTGCAAACGTGAAATCCTTATCACTCTGTATGTATATGTATGTATATTGCGTGTATATTATATTTGTATGGGTTAAGTGGAAGACTGCAGATCGACGACAATCGCCGGTAAATGTTAACATTCACTAAGCCAATATTAATGCAATATTTTATAGTAAATCAAACCAGTAATCGTTAAACATACACCAAATGCACAGTCGGTTAATTGTTGACTGATGAAAGGAAAAACAGCTTATTATTAGTACTACGATATTGAACTATACGTCAAACTATTATTGATCGTACAAAAAGAATACTAACTGATAAAATAAAAAAAATCAATACGAATAACTTACAATATATTTTTAATAACAACAGCTGCATACCTATTACGTTTATAGATGACACATTTTATCGCACCGTGTGGTACGCGAAAGTATAAATTTTAATGAATACGTATAATATATTTATATTTATATATACTAATTATAATATAATTTATGAAATTAATAATAGTTTGTGTAGTATGAAGAATACAAATAAAAAATATGTAAAATATGTAAAAAAATCACCCTTAACTAATATAACAACATTATTGTTAATACTGCTATTGGTTATAGATATAGTTATAGATTATAGAAATCTACAGCATAATTAAGAAACAGTATTGCCTCTATATTATCAATTCATTATTTTTCTCAATATATATTTTTTTTGATTTTTTTTATATTTAAAGTGTACTAAATAAAATATTAATTTATTGATGCATCGATAACATTCAAAATCCATCAAACACATTTTTCGACCGCTAAAAACCATTAGCTGATATACATTGTTCAAGTAACTGGCCGATTAAAAATATTCTACAAATTATTTTCTTTACCCGTATATCAATGATCCTGCTAATGAACCCCGACAATCACGAACTAATAATAATAATTATCGATTTCGAATTTTCACAGTAATATATACCGCAAGACAATGTAGTACAATATTATTCCGAAGACTTGAATGTTTAACCAAAGGCAGTTCCTAAAAAAAATATAAGCTTAAGTATATCTTTCGCACAACACCCGTCTTAGATTAGAGAGCAATGTACACGTGTTATCACTTCGTTTAAAAAACAAAACAACATGTGAGTGTAATTATTTAGTTAATCTATACGTGTATACTTACGCGTAATGATGTTGTATTAGCATAGTTTAATTTTATTCACTACTGCTATTAGTACTACGTCAGTATTCTGATAATCTACTGCTAGTACTAGTACAAATGTATAACAGTCCTTGTAAAACATATCTCGTACGTTACTGCATACGTACATACAAGCATACTCATTACTCTTACATTGATTGTTTTTTTCCCACGGTGGCGACGGCCGTCGAAAACCGCGATTTTTGACCAAGCATACCTGTGCCCGCCATTGTGCGTTGTTCACGGTGAACAATGACGATATTAGCCCCACATCGTGGAATGAAAAAAAAAAATCGGTTACCGAAACGGTAATTAGTTTGCGCGGTTATAATTGGTGTATTTGTCACGCCAAATTATTTTGATTTACAATACGTATTAAATTGTGTACAAATTAATAATACGAATTCGATGTAGATTGCACGGATAGATTGGGCGACGGACGAGTCGATTTTTAAATGCTTCTAATCGCATACATAATGTGCGCGCACGGCACTAACGAGTATCGATTTCACAGTTTAACACAAAAATCGAATTCGAGTTCTGATGATGCGCTTGAATGCTCGACGAGTTCGCTGGCGCGTATGTATGACTTTGCAAGTACGGTTGTAAATACCTACCTGTAAACACACAAAATCATCCTACACACACACACACACACACACTGGTAACATGGTTGTGCAAGCAGCATACGATCATCGATTATAATATTATAGTCGGGTTTTTATAGTTACTGACGTCGATCAGAGTTTGCTTTTGGGGATTGTTTGATTCCATTAGATACTTAATGAGTGTGTGACCCGACGCAATGAGTAAATGAAGGTACAGCCGCGACGCAGGTACGGTATCCTCATAACGTATCGGTACGCGGCGACCATTTAATGAACCGGGATAGCTAAATAATTATTGTTCTTTTCTACACCACGGAGGTTAGATTTTCTAGAAACAATAGCGTAGACACGTTTGAGTCTATTGAATATTTCTTAATTGAATATTTCGTATCGATTGTGCGCTTTCTAAATCATTATGTTTTTTTTTTTTTTTTTAAACATTACTCATTACGTTTCAATGGATACGTGATGTATTTAAAATAAATAAAAGTACGATTTGTGTTTGGTATAAATATTGGTACCTACCACCGAGAGCGTGTTCAATTGTTATGCATTAGTATTATTGTTGTAGATGTGTTTCCGAGATTATTTCTCGAATTCGGTTTTTGTTTGCTACGACGATTTTTTTTTATTTTCCCCCGTGACCTTAAAATCAAATACTTTTAATGTGGATACGTATAATTGTAAATAGGATAGGTAAGACAATTGCAATTACACGGTTCCTTGAAGAGAGACGGATATGAGAAATAAATAAAAATAAATTATAAAAACGAACCCATATAATTTATTCCTATATTACGTTGTATTGTATAATAATATGCCTAATTATATAGTACATAGGTTTGTACATTTAAACGTACAGAAAATACAATAATAAATTATTAAACAACTATTTAGTTAAACATCCAATGATGGAAATTAATTTGGATAAAACAATTTGACGTGATGTAAAATATGCGTACACGTCACTACACAATATGTATATAATTAATACAGCATATAATATATAGTTAATTGAATTATCTATATGTATATATATATACACACAAAATGCAAATGAAGTGCGAAAAATCTTCTACAATAGTATACACACATAATTATATATATATTTTTTTTTTTGGTATTGGGTTAACGAAAAGTTTAGTATGAATAATATATAACGAACAAATATAACAAGCGCATAATGTACATAACGTATATTATTATACTAATAATAATATTATCAAAGTGTGTATGATGGACAAACTAGTTTAAGTATATAATATAAATGAGTTATGTATACAATGATTACACGTATATATATAAACACTATAGGTAGTTTAAAAAATAAAAACATAAATGTGAATTTTTTACATATGCGTTACGTCGTAGAACACCGGACAACGTTTGTTTACAAATAGAAAACAAAAATAAAATGTTTGTAATACATTAATTTATGTCTAAAAATCAATTCATCTAGTTTCTTACGACTAACTAATTGGTACCAAACATCAAAGTATTGTTATTATTATTAATATCGTTTTTATAGGTCCAATCTCCGACTATCGGAATCGCACGCGTAAATATAATAGTAACTACTACTAATGCGTGTAGCACAATTGAAGCGCATATTACATAAACCCAGTGCTCGACTTGCGAGTGAACGCAGGGGATGGAGTACCCCGATTAATTTTCAGAAATTTTAGCCTCCCCCTACTATTATTACGTTATAATTGGTACGATTAACAAGTCTTGGGGACGCTATTTTTTTTTTTTTTTTTTTAAGTAAACAGAGTACCCTTTTTTTAATTTTGCTAAATCGAGCACTGAATAAACCTTGACAAATTACGATGATAACTCCTGTACGAAAATTGAACGTACGGATCGTTAGTGAGAAGGACTAGGACGCGCGCGCTCACACAAACGATTTCGTACGGGGGGTTGAAACGCGTACGACGTGATGGAATGACAGTGTGTGAAAACAGTGATTCCATCGATTCACCCCCCCCCC